TATATATATATATATATATATATATATATATATATATATATATATATATATATATATATATATATATATATATATACACACCACTGTGCGAACATCAGCCAGTCTCAAATTAACTTAGGCATGGTCACCTCTTATAAAAACACTTCATTTCCACAAAATGGATCTGTCAGCTCCCAAGAGAGTCACAATGTCATGGAAAAGTGAAATATGCCTAAAGAATCAGCAGTTTTTACCACATTTCCTGTTTAATCTGTCTAATGCTGCCATAAAGTCTTACTAGGGATCAAGTCTTCATGTCAGTAATCTAACTGCAAACTGATTTACACTGTGTTAACTGCAATTATTGGTGTTAAAGAAGCAAATGCAATAGTTTAATGCATGATTAGTCTCAGAGCACTGTACTTTACAGAGATGCAAAATACAATGCTGATCCTGTTGCATTTTTTTCTTACTCCTTGTGTGATTTATTGGACAGTGTTGGCCAGTTTTGACCCAGACTGATTGCTGATCAGAATCTGCCAGATTTGATTCAAACTTCATTTCACCTGTGTTGCTGTTTGAAACCTAAAAAAGTCAGATCTTTATCCAAAAGGAAAATGTCTTTTTGAAGATTCTAGAGAGCGAGACTTAAAGCAGATAACGGGAAGGCTGAGCAGAAGACAATAAAGTTGTTTTGTTTTATCCTTTTGAGCGTCTCTACCAGAAAACATGATGGGTTTGAAAATGTTGGCAGATTGTCAGAACTGCTGACTGTTTTGTAATGGTAGCCATGCCAACAATGACTTTCACTAAAATAAGATCCTAAAGACGCATTCAAATGCTCTTTCACTACAATAAGATCCTAAAGACATATAAAAATGAAAAGTCCGTATTTATTTAAAAAATGACTGAAATGGGAATCTGCTAAAATCTGAATTGACAGAATAAAACTTTACAAAACATGAAGTTTGGAAATCAGCTAAAATCCTGTTTGGTGCATCTCTGACACTGCAAAGTGTTTAATCTCCAGAAGACCTTCACCCAACATAAAAAGATATCCACCCAAACACCGGAGTATTGCAAAGAACAATAACAATATTTTCTTTATTTTTGAAATAATATCAGATGCAGCAAACAAATATGTTTATTTTTCAATCCAAGGTGGCTATATTTGAATAATTACATTCAGCCAAAAGAGGAAAAAAAGTTTTTAAAAGAAGAAAAGAGACTGACATTTGGACGGAGGTGAGGGGTAAGGAGATGAGTTTGACTGATGCAGATGGTGAAATGAATCCCTTGTAGTGTGGAAAACTACAATCATCTAAGGTCATCTTTCCTTTTACCCTGTTAGTGCCCACCTTGCCCTCTCTGTTAGGGGACTCTGGTATGGCTTTGCTCTCTGAACTCTCTACGGTAAGTCTTATTTTTGGTCATATCAGCCTGATGTGAGTCAAACATAGACTGTGAAAATCCCCCATTCACTTCCTGTTGCACTTTTTACTCACTTTCGTGTTGGCCAGTTTTGACCCAATAACCGCTGATAGGGTGTGAGAGGAGAGCGGTCCCCCGGCCCATCTGCTTTGTTCTGAAATGGTAAGTAGGTTACAAGGTGATGGGGGCACTACCACCATGTGAATATTTATGCCGGCCTCCTGCTTCGCACTGTCTGACAGATGTTTTGATGTCTTTTTATAGCACTGGTTCCCTCAGCTGATGTCTCACACACACACACGCATGCACGCACACACACACACACACCTACACACACACACACACACACCTACACACACACAGTCACACATATAGTGAATCTGGAGCACTTCTCTCTGATAAGTATCCAATGGCACTGCTTGCCTGAAGCAACAAGCTAAAACTAATTGCCCAGGGACACTCTCGCAAGCAAGATGGAACATGTTAGGATAGAAAGGCATGTGTCTCAATGAAGGGAATCAAGGGTTTCCTGTTGTTCTGGGCCACAAAATCTCAAACACTTTTTATACAGAGAGACAAGTACGAAAACAAAAGTTGGTGTGGAGTTTTCTGGGACAGCTGACCTCAAAAGCTGCCGCTTAGAAACTTGTGCTGGTGACGAGGGTCTGGGGAGAAAGCAGGGGGAGGAGAGAGCAGATGGACTGAAGGGGAAAAAGGAGAACAAAAAACGACAGAAGTGAGAGAGAGAGAGATACACGTCTCCTGAAGTTCAGTCGTTTTTGTAATTGCAGGCTAATTGCCTTTCGGCAAAGGTAGCACTAAGACGCCCATCTATTTACGTAATAAGCCCCCCTATGGGGAGGGAGGGAGCAATAGACGGACAAAAAAAAAGAGCGGGAGCAAAGGACAGAAACAAAGAAAGGCGGGATGGAAGAAGGGAAAATGACAGGATGGTGATGGAAGGATGGAGAGGAAACACATTCATCAGGCTGTCTGGTGTATCAACGGCACATCTTCTGCTTCTATCCATGTGAGGACAAACTGTTCTCTTGGTGGTGACTGAACAGAGTCACAGTTCTCAGAAGTATAAGATTCACAGCACATACATGTAGATGTGAGAAACAGAGAAAGTCCAAGGTGCCCGTCTTTACTTGAAGCCGCAAGGACATTCAGATAGACATGCAGAGAAAAAGCGTGCACAAGAGGCGCTCAGAGTGAGCTGATAAACGGGGGAGGAAAAAGGGGGAAGGTTGTGAGACAATGGGACGGTCGCGTCACCGCGCTTCGACAAAAGCGCGAACTCGCTTCGCCAGCGTTGCCCGGCTTTTAATGTCAAGCAAAAGGACAGTGACGCTGCAAGCTCTCATCACTGCAGGAGATACAACAGGATTTCCTGATGCCTCTGTCTAAGGGGTACACATTACTGTGATCCCTGTTTGAGGGGATGAGAGTTGAACTGTGGTCTTAGACACCGAGGAGGACGTGAGGATAGTCATGCAGTTTGAGAGGTCAAAGGTGATGTATGAAAGGCACAGCTTCAATGGTTCCCCCTGAGTTTTCACGGTTTTGCCTAACTCTTAACACTAGCATTTGCTGTTTTCTGTAAATGAGGCGATGTCAAACCTTAGTTTTAGTTTAATCCATCGAAACCAGAAAAAGTTAAGCCTCAAACAGGAGATGACCTACCCCAAAACACTGTTTTAAAGGGAATCGCTGCATTGGAGGGGATTTGGAATTAATTGACTGTGCAAGCTGGGAGCGCTTGCTGACATCTTACGAGACACAGCTGGACACACAGTTTCACAAAATCTCAAAATACAAACACACACACACATTGAGGCTTCTTTGAACAAAAAGCATAGAAGTGGGGATCAAGTCGGTGCTTGAATTATGTCGTACTGTAGAAAATGACGACTCACTCCAGGGTTTCTCTTGAACATGTGCACACATGCAGGGTGAGAGTGAAAGAGGAGTGGAGCTTGTACATTTAGGCATGGGCCGGTAGCAGGTTCTCAAATGATCACCTTGGTTTCACAGTGTCATGATGTTTAAAAGAAGGATTTATACAAACATAGCAAGATTGAACTACTGTGATTTAAATAAAAAAAGCAACAATTTATTCCTACATATGGTAAAATAACAATGTTAGCATAGTTAATATTACTACTTCATTTTGATACAAGTGCACAAACATTTATCAAATTTTAAATCATGTTAAATTATGTTTTCATGCCATCATAGGTGGGTAGCACTAACTAAAATTAGTTGCATTGACCCTAAAGCACTAATCATAAAGATTAGTTCTGCTAACTCACTATACTATTGTAGCATTTAACATGAGCTAATGCTAATGTGCTCGAGCACTAAATTCAACCATATGGATACCGTCATGTGTTACAATGTATCGCCCTCAAAATGGTGAGATCTCTTGACCATTTTGAGGCTCAACAAATCTGAGAGTAAAATTTGTTAAGCCTGAAATGATTGAGACCACTTTATAGTTGCTGAGCATTGCTAACTCTGTTGTTGATTGACCACAGCAGGACTTCGGTCAGAAAACAGGGAGGACATCAGTTTACAGTAAGGCTGCAGACTGTAGTTCTACAGCGATTCACTCCGGGTACAGAATAGACGCCATTTGCCGCTCTGTCATCACAGGATATGGAACAGCTACGTAAACAGTCTTCACCCACTTCAAAACAAGAACATGAATACAATCATTAACTACTTGAAGAATTTGTATCAGTCAATAACCAAATCTAGGATTTTATTCAACTGAAAGTTTCCAGAAGAGCCAAATAAATTAGCGCTTCATGATTTGTCTGGAAAGATGTACATAGGGGAAGCTAAGGGTACTAAATGTTTTCAAAGTTAACAAAAATGCTACACAAACAAAACAAAAAAAACATTTGCTTTGGAAATTTTCACTCGGTTTGACAAATACTATCTCAAGGTATTTTAATAATGGACTTTAACCCATCCCAGAGAGTATCTCCATTTTAGAAATGAATGTAGTGTCTAAATATCTAAGCTGTTAGTATCTGGTCTAAATACTAAATGCTAACAAGATGTTAATTTGTATGACTTTTTATCAAGGACTCTGAAGCACTTTATGGTGGTGAGCTACATTGTAGCCATAGCTACCATCGGGTCCTCTGACAACCACAAGTAGGCAAGGTGAGGGAAGTTTTCTAAGGACACAATGACTGAAACAGAGGGAGCGGGATTTGAACCAGCAACTCAAATCACATCATTACACATCATTACTCCAAAATCTTAATTTATAAATGGATAACTTTTATAAGGATTGAGGCAAATGAATGTCACTGAATGTTTTTTGGCATTTTGTATGATTTATTACATTTTGGTTGTGGACCTCACAGATTTTTTATTAAAATTTTAAGCTTAGACTACCTTTAAATTAGGCTTTTTTCCTTAGTCTAAACCTAGATGAAATATATTAAATCAGGGTTATTTACACACTTGAAATGTCTAAATGAGATCTACGTTTATCTTCAACCTTTGTTGCTCTCTGGGGACGATAAAAAGGGAAAATAAGAAAACTTTGAAAGTGTAGCTCTTTTAAAACCTTGGTATCCTTGATCCTGGTAACTCATTTTAAACTTTTAGCTGTTTTGAAAGTGTAACGTTTTGGTACCACCAACCAGCCCATGCCTACGTGCGTGTGGGAATGAATGCATCCATGCTCTGGTTCAATGGGATTTCCTGAGTTGCATGAAAGACATTTTCTCTCAGGTACGTCAACATGGAGAGGATGAAGTAGGCTCTTAACGTGTCACATTACATGCCTTTTTGCAAGCATTATAGAAAGGGAGAGTACAGAATAAAAAGGCAAAGCTTTCCAAGAGTCAACATAAGAAGAAAAGATGAGTATTTAGAAGTTTTTAACCCTTGTGTTTAGAAATGGGGTCCATCTGACCCCACACACGTAAAACTTGTATCATTTGCCACAGTTCTCTACGTTTGCCTCAGTCCTCGCACGCACAAGGGTTAAATAAAAAAAACAAAAAAACGAGCTCTTCATGAGGATCATGATAAATGGCAAAAAACCGTATCACAGTATCCTCTTGAAAAAAAAGGTAAAATTTCACATTTGTATTGTTGCTTTTTTTTTTTTTTCCCAGTAGACTATATCACACAGTGATAACAAAGAACAGGAGAAATCTACAGCCACATTAGCTTCGTGCAAAGACCACATACACTGGCACGCCGCGTAGGCAAGGAGATCAAAGCAAGACAACGCATACAAAAATATAGAAAAATCTCCAAATGCAACCCATCTCTGCACAGGAAAATAGGTTTCTGTCGCTTGTTGCCAAACATCCGTCGTTGAGGCGTCGCTTCGGGAACTCTCTCTTTGTGTTTCCTGTGTCCCTGCTGTGAGTTTTTCTTTTTCAAGAGCAAAGTTCAGGTTTCCTCCACAGAAAACACCGGGGGAACACCGAGCAGCTGTTCATCAATATGCCAGCTGTCCATCATGATGATGACATGAACAACAACATGACTGATAGAAAACTAGTACATCAAAAGCATATCATTTCTGTCATATCATTTGGAACGCATGATTTTTTTTTTTAAATACATACCATTTCCTGTCACTTTGAAGACATTCCAGCATTTGCTCATAATTGACAGTGACAGGGTTAAATAATTTGGCATACTCAGCAAGCCATGCCCAGAAGGATGCGATTTACTCTCTTGCAAAGGATAGAGGAAAGAGGTTAGGAGATGAGGGATGGGGTGAGGACAGGTGCCAGGATGCAGTGTCAGCCTGCTCACTCATGAAAGATAGAGAGAGAGAGAGGGAGAGAGAGAGAGAGAGAGAGAGAGAGATGGGTAGGGGTGATACAGCACAGCTGAGATTACAAAAACGTGCTCGAGCCCAGGTCAACCCATTGATTTCAGCACTTGCAAAAAACATGCAGATATAAGTCAGAGGTTTGGACTCTCAGTCGATCTGTCTGCCTGTAGCAGAGTCCTTTCACCACACCGAAGAAGCCGAAAAACTGTGGGTGTCATACCCGAGAGTTAGTCCCTGGACTGACCATGCCTAGTCCAGCCCTCGCCGTTCTCACACTGATGAAAAAGGATTGTTTGGACGCCTTCAAAACAAAAAGTGTCAACACGTGGAATGGGGCCAAAGCACTTAACGGATGGAGAGGAGAGCTGAGATGCTGCGAGTATAAGGCAAAGACAGATGATTTACGCATCATTCAAAAGGTTCAAACTGTTCAGACACCGTGACGAAGAGGGGAAGTTGTCGCTGAAAATGAAGAAGCCCCTCCCCAAATACTGAGATGAGAAAAAAAAGGAGTCATTGGTTGTTCGGCTCTTCTGCTCTCTCCTCCAGCTCCTCCTCTTCCTCCTCCTCGTCGAGGGAAACAACCCCTGAGGAGGCCACATCGGACACCCTCCTGTGTGGGTCGTAGTCAGGAGGGTACTCCACGCCCTGGCCCTCCGCCTCCTCCTGGCACACAGTGCCTTCATAGTCCTTGCAGGGGGTGTCATCATCCTCACCAGGTGACAGATATGTTTCAGAGTAAGACATGGAGTAGCAAGGAGAATCCTGACCTCCGTAGGACCTGCTGCCCCGGCCGCCCCCACTCAAGCTGTGGAAGCCACAGTCTCCCCCACAAGGCCCACTATGTCCCACCCTCTGAAGTCGGGCCAGCAGCTCCTCCCCTCCATGCAGCGCAGACAGGATCTTTGCAGCAAGTTCAGCTGCGTTGTTTTGGGCGTGATTACCGCAATGAGTCCTCAGATCGCGGAGCAGCGGGTGCTGCTCGTCGAGGCTGCAGAGGCTGGAGCAGAGCGTGTCCGGAGAGCCCGCCGTTGGGGAGGGCTCTCTGCTGCCACCGCCCTCGCCGATCCCTCCTCCACTCTCGGGACAGGGCCTTCGCATGCCCAGGTGCTGGCAGAGCTGGCTGTGGATCAGGTCCTTCAAGTACGGCGGATAAGACGACAGTTCTAGGGAGAGCAACACAAACTGTAAGCATGAAGTCTTGAAAGTACAACAACCGTGATATAGTAAAGAGGAGGTAAAGCTAATTCCTTTTTTTTTTGGGATGTTGCAATAAGAAATATGTATACCTATTAAACTACTCCCAGAGAAGACTTTACAGAGGGTCTCAAATGCTAGTCTTCAAGAGACAGGAGCCCTGCAACTTTTAGATGTGTCCCTTGTCCTACACACAGGAATGAAATGGTGAAGCTGCCTCACTAGCATGCAGTCAAGCTCTACTGACCTGTGCTAATGAACTAATATTGGAGGCAGGTGTGCTGAGGCAGGGAGCCGTTTAACAGGTGCAGCACCGGCCCTTGAGGACTGGAGTTTGAGACCATAAAATGCTGTACCTTTTGGACAAATGTACCTTTGTTTTCTTCGTATCTCAAGATTCACGTAAGGATTTCATGGAGATAAAAATCTTAGAATCAAAACAAGACGGTATTAAGAAGAAAGTGCTTTGCAAAAGTATTCACAACCTTTGAAATGGGAACAAGGCCCATTATGCTAATTCAAAATATCTTTAATTTTAATGATAAAACACCTGGAGCCTTGAAAGGCAGCTGTGAAGTAAAACTGGAGCTTTAAGAGTTTTATCAACTTGGCTTACATTTCCTCAAGAGTCTATTGTCGTCACACACAGGTCTGCATGCATGAGATCCAATTAAATATGGTCTTCCAGAAGGTAAGAAGCTACTGGTGAATATATGAATGCTATTAACTGCAGTGCAGTGCATTGGCGGATGTGTGTAATGAAGATGAAAGCTCCGGTGCACACACTGCCGAGTGCCTTTATAACCCACTAACACACAATGCCCACACAGATGCTGCCTCTGCAGCAGAGGAAACGATATTAAACTTGCAGGAGGGATATCAAATTGCGCAGACAAACAGAAAAATGTCACGAGTGGATGAAAACTGGGGCACTGGGACAAAGAAAGACAAAGAGGGGGAAAGAAAAGAGAGATGGATATGGGAGGAGGTGTCTAATTCAGCTTTGAATCAATGAGGTTTGATTTAGCTGCTGTGTGTGTGTGTGTGTGTGTGTGTGTGTGTGTGTGTGTGTGTGTGTATTTACCTGTGCTCTGTGTGGTGGGCTCGCTGGCAGGCAGAAAGTCTTCATCATATGAGTCATCATTGGACTCGTCGCCGTCCACAGAGGACCAGGCCCTCAGCTTAGCCTCGGCGATGGCAAACTGCTCTGCCACACCTGCAGACACACAAGCGGCACACATGAGCTCGCACATGCACGCAGGGCAATTACACGGTTGGCATGGTAACAAGGAGGCTGCATTTGTGCCTCGGCGTCATCTGCTGCCTGACCGACAGATCTGTGTGAGGTGCGGTGCATCATTAGGAAGAGGAAACGCGACAGCATTCCCAATACAGTCGGGGTTCACCAGCCGTCACCTGGCTGGTGCAGTTAAGATGGATGTCGCTTGGTGTTTAGTTGTGCTCCGTCACGTTGAGCCTGTGAGCTGGAGGAGATACAGAGGAGAAGTGCCAGCTCAATCTGTGAGGGAAACGTTTGTGAAAAGAGCTAGATTTGTGTGCTTCTAGTTTCTATAAAGGTTTAATCTCTTGGATCCTTTCTGGGAAGCATTAAAAGTCACATCCAATGCAAAATCATAAGGCAGAGGAGTGAGGAGGAGGAGGGTGAAACACATTTACTTGTTCCTACAATTCCAAACCAACCTAAAAAAACAAACAAAACAAAACTAAGTTATCAGTTGAAAAGGACATCAATGTGAATAAACCTATAGTCCCAGATTGGTCTGAACATTTCACTAGTCTCTAGCTTAGAATTAAACATCAGCTCCAAAAACCAGATTAAATAGATCAACTCTTTGTTTATGTTCCTAGAGAATCTCTGTCACTTAAACCAGGCTGACAAATCTACCAGCTTAATGACTGCAGGTTTTAAAGGAAGAGCGTCCATCACCAAATGATCTGGTTCTGTTAGGGCAAAACATTTACACCTTGCAAGCAAAAGCATGTCATAGAAGTGAAAAGCCAAGAGAGGATGCATGTTTGTCTGTGTATATTTATTTATTGTGTAACTATGGCTCCCATGAATAGCCTTTAATATCTGAGTGACCTATCTTCCCCAATCAGGAGCAGCTGCCAGTCAGAGACAGGAAGTCACTCACTTGTTTCCTTAATGTCACCCTGCTCCCCCTCCTTCCTCCTACCTGCTCTGTATTCACCCCTGTTCTCCTCCATGTCATGCCTTCCTTCCAGTCGTCTCTCTCAGTAAAATTCTCCATCGAATCACCTGGCTCTCCTGATTCCTCATGTTCTCTCTTTCTCTCCTCCCAGCAGTCTTTCGGCCCTGTCTCGTTCCCCTGGTTTTGATTTTCCTCTCCTCGGGCTTCATCTCTTTATGTCTCCCTGTCGGTCTCTTCAGCTCAATGCTCAGTATTCATGCGACGTTTCCCACGGGGAGAGAGATCGATGCTCCCATTCATCCCTCACTGTGGCTGGACCCTGAACCCTCCTCACAAACAGCAGCACAACCTCCCACAGACGGAGCTGAGCTGTGCAGGTTGAGCTTTAGATCTAGAAAGTGGCCATTCACATGCCACTAACATTCATTTTAATGTCACCAATGCACATAACCAATACAAGGAATTTAATAGCTAAGAGTGGGCGCCCACATGAAACACACGTTTTGCAACTCTTACATGATGAAATGTAGGAGGTGTTCGGCATTGATACTATTTTTAATCCTGGTGTGTGAAGGAGTGTGTTTTCAACCCTATTCAGTTGTGACACATTGTGTTCGCAGGATGATATCCCAGCTTTCTTGGACTCAAATGTTTGGTTGAATAGTGGAAACACCAGGGAGGTTCGCTGTTTTCAGCCAATCGTTTTCCTGATCTGAACATTTTAAGACGGAGGGCCAGCAGTGTGGTGAGCCTTCCGATATCACATTATCAGCATCTTGCTGTCGTCAGAGAGAAATAAAAACATAAACCGTTTTTAGCTCAGATAGAAATACCAAAAAAATATTTGCAGCATTATTACCAAATGTCACCAAAATGAGAGAGAGAACTGCTCATACAATTTGCCATTACTTCTTACATATTTGGCCTTCAAAACGGTTTGACTATCAACAAGCATCAACAAGTCTGACACATCATAGGTTTATGGTAAACACAATATTTTCATTCAATTGATCACTGTCTGTTTTTGCAGCATTTGGAAAGTTGTTGCTTTTCTAGTTTATTTAAATGCAACTGGGTCGGACATTTGTAATTGTTGATGCAGACACCACGACACCATGAAACTGGTATCCTTACTCAATATACTACCTGCAGTTGCCTGGCTGTATCAGTCACTGCATATCTGCCTCTTTCATTCATCTCTTCATTCATACAAAGTGTAGAGTGGAAGATGTATTTGTCTCAGTGTTTCAGCAGAACATCAACGCCTGCATATTCAGTTCCCTGCTTGCCTCCCACACAGACACTCACAAACAGTACACCGGAGAGAGTTCTGTCTCACTCACACACACACACACACACACACACACACATACACACACGCACACACAAACTCTTACTTATCACATTTTTGCACATGCTGACTTTATTCTGTAACTTGAACACGAATGTTCACTCACCATCACGCCATCGGTGGATTGCAACTTGACAAAAATAAGAGTCAGCACAACTGGCAGCAACTTAATGAAGTGGGCACCACTGATGAAGCAAAGCCAAGAGATGGCTCTGTGCAGTTCCCATGCAAACATAACACCAGACCATGAAGAGTACTGGCATCATTTTCTGCACAAATCATGATACTCTCAGGATACAACTTCATAAAAAGGAATTTATTAAGCCTTTTAGATACCAGGATATTTTCAATAAAAACTTATGAGCTAAGTAAAAATATTTCGTCGCTGCATCTTTCAGCAGGACAGTGATGAAAAACAAATGTCTAAATAAACACATTTTTGCCCTGAGACATAAATACTACAGAAAACCTGTGAGCTGAGCTGAAGTGACGAGAGCATAACAGAGGATCTCTGAGTCAGGATTGTCAAGAAAGTATGTGAAGAATATAGTCAAAGAGCCTGAAATGACATTGAAGAAAAATACATCTAAGTGCGTAGTGGTGCCGATAATTGGGCCACCAGTCATTTTATTGAGCAATTATGACTTAAGATGGGATTTTTCACCTCCTACTGAACAAATACACTTGAATTAATGGATAGATTTTGAGATTACATTTTTTTATACTGTACATCTTTACCAAAGCGGCAATAAATGTCCTTACGTCTGTGAGGGGAGAATAATAATAACAGTTGATAAATGTGTTAAGAGAGGGGCCTAGAGGAGCAGAGATGTCCTGTGAATGATCATACCCTAAAGATTAAAGCATAAGGGAGCAGAACAGAGAAGGCATAGGGGAAAATTGCTCAGTCACGGCAGCATTAGCCAGGGGCAAAACCTTACTGTGCAAATTAACCTTGAGAGTCTGCATTGCAGGGACAGAGCAAAAAAAATGGATAAAGAGCAGACGGCAAGTGAAAACGACTGAAAAAGAGGTGTTACAGAGGGCAAAAAGGAGCAATATAGGGAGGGACAGCGTGGGTAGAAGAGCACAAAGATGAAATAATGAACAGAAAGGGCAGGAGGGATGAAAGAAAAGCCAGAGACGAGGTTAGTTGGTAGCAGAAAGAGGACACAGATGTGCTCTAAGTGAGTGCTTTCACAGATGAACAAAACTTAAACAGTCTGAAGAGAGGGAAGAGTTAGGGTGAGAAAAATTCAATAAAGTCATTCTTTATAAAAAATGTGTAAAACACATGTTTGTTCTGGACCAGAAAATTAATGGAGTGAAAAGTCATTTTAAAAATTCTTAGGTGGCAACACTTTTACACATGTGCAAAAGCCAACACGCTTATAATGCAGATTTATATATGTGTTGCATAACATCTTAAACTATCCATGAATAATAAGATATTTTATATAACCATTTATGCAAGTCAAAAGCTTAACATTCATGAGTGAGAGTGAAGTACAGATGTAAAAGAACTGCGAAAATGGTTGGAACTGGAGCGTTGTGTGTCACTGAAAATATTTAAATGATGCCTCCTGCACTCCCTGCCTCATTATCAGTGCTTCTTTCAATCAATCAATCATATCTTTATTCCAGACTCAAAAAAGGTCCATAGTAAAAAGGTAGAAACAAATCCACTAACAAACTGTGAGACAGTTTTCAGACTAGATAAATAATCGGATGCCAAATAATGGCATTTCTAAGACGTGCATTAAATCACACTGATGAGTCGTTTCTACTGCCTGTTCGTTGCACGTCCTGAAGATGTCACATAATAAAATCAATATTATGTGACATAATACCAAGGCAAAGATGATGAACTTCTTTGAAGTTTTATTGTGAAACTGCAACATTTCTAACTATGAACCAACGTGGCTGTAACATATAGCAGCATGAAAATATTAGGTTCTATGCTAAAGAAATTATTTCCTCCTTTGTCCACACTGAACAATGCTGCAAAGACTTTATAGCACACTTCCATCTGCTGACACACCAAAGCCACTGACACTCACCTTATAATGTTAAGAATCTAATTTAGTAAATTATATGGATTATTGTCCTTAAATCTCTGACTCAGTGGGTTTTTTGTCACAGGCCTGTGAAGTACTGTAAAGTAAAGCTGTAAAATACTGCATGCTGCAGATTATGTCAAGCAAATATTATGATCATTCAAGATGAGTTGATGGGAAATGGCAATGCAGCAGAGGTTTATGTTAACATGTAACGTCCGTGTGTTTCAATCGATTCTACAAAGTCACCTGACTCTGCTGAGACGTGAATCTGGCTGAGATCCAATAACAGTAACATGCAGGCAAGCCAATCAGATAGTGATCAGTTTACAGTGATTTCTACAAGCGCCGGCCTTTAAGACATTAATTTAGATTAATTCAGTCATTAGACAGATCTAAATGTGTTAAAATGTTTTCAGTGGAATGAACTGCATTTCTTTGACATACCTTTGTATCTGCGTGTTTCTGAAAAATTATTGTTGTGTGCAAGTTGTGCAAAAAGGAAGTTAGCCTGTTACTGAAACTACTCCAACCTAAAATACCATCTCAATGCAAAACATGTAGGAGTAAACACAGACGTCTCCAATGCTAATGTCAGCATCCGCAGTCCATATTTCTAAAGAAGAATTTTCTTAAAATGTTAAATAAATGATCAGGGATCCCTGAAACAATTGAAAGCTGAATGGGTATAAAGCACTTTGCACCAATCTGATTGCCGAACAACTTAAATATTAAAAACAAATGTCTTTGTTGCTGAGCTCATGTGCATATATACAATAATTTAGCAACATAAAGGAGGTTTGAAATGAAAATATTGCTTATTTTGTAAATTAAAATGCAATTAGTTTTGATTTATTCATTAATAACAGACCCTGCAATTAACTTGATTAAAATTTTTAACCACTAAATTTCTACGTGTGCTGTACATGTCATAGACTTGACTTCTTTCAGATACGGCACCTAAGTACATATTTATTAAACATATTTCCACATAATTGTTAAAAGAACCTTAGCACCGTTAAGGTCACCAAGAGGTTACTTTTTGTAAATAACTCTTCTATATGCTCATACAGCGGAGCACAAAAAAAAAAAAAATCCACCAAATAATAAACATAAAGATTACCAGCAGCAAAGCGTGCTTCTTGCTCTCCCTCAGTGAGGTCAGAATAAGAGTTGAAGTCTGACTCCAGAGCTGCCGGAGTGTCCATGGGCTTGCACCATCCCTTCCACTCTATCAGATGGGCCACTCTGCCCTGCGCCATGGCTGTAGGCTTCGTCACATGGTCCTTGACCACCTGCGAAATACCTGCAGGATGCATATATCGGGAGTTATTCTAAACCGGGTCCATTACGTGCATGCGGAGTACATTTGACTGTATTGCAGCAAGCTGTTTTTATAAACCGTTGCACTTACCATGCAGAGAAGATCGCGCTAGAGCAGCAATCTCTTGAATGGTAAGAGCTCTTCTGGATTTTGGTAGCATTTCAACGGTGTCATCAACATTCACCTGAAACGAAGAGAAATAAATGAGTGGGTCTTGAACTCGCTCAGGAGCTCAGCAGAAATGTGAGCCACATCTCAATACATCCTGCCATGACTCAGAGGAAAACCCTCTGCTGCCTGTTTGGTGCAAAGGAGAATCCTGTTGTTAAGTTAGCAGGCACACTTTTATGTTCTTTAAAAACTCAGGGATTTTTCCACAAATACACACACTTTCACACACACACGCAATCTTGATAAATCACAGGCAGAGTGTGTGTGAAACCAATTTGCATAAGCAGGGACACATTCCTGCGTACTTGCATTGCTTTGTGAATGCAGTTCTTTGCAATGACGTTCAAACCACTTGTATATTTATAAGAGTGGAATGTGACACAGTTATGTGATCGATGAATACAAAGTAATAAATCCTGCCATCATTGTAAAGCAATACCTGTCAGCTTAGCTAGAGTATGTAGAAATCTCAAATTGGACTTTGACTGGACCATTCTAACACACTAATGCACATTAATTATGATTATTGCTTTGTAGCTTGAGCTGCATTGTCTTGCAATTACCTCCATCCACTAATCAGATGACTTCTAATGTATGTTAGTTGCACTGGATTCTGTTTAGATGCACAAGAGTGGAGTGGACTGAATAAAAATACATTTAATATAAGAGCTTAATATGAAAAATATGTTGAAAACATCAAGAGATATACTTAGATGTATCATTTTATATAATTTGATGTGAAACCGCAAATATTCACCAATGGATTGAGGCCTTTGATGCCACATGTTTTCTTAGATTGTAGACTAATTAGCAAACCTGCAGTTAGTTAAGGTAACAGTGATCATCCTTCTCGGATTACAAATTGTCGTTATGTTATACATATGCACACGTGAAAGGCCAGCAAAACATAAAAAGGTCCCGCGGTGACATAGATTGGTTTATTTTTGCACACTATCCACACCCTGCTGCCATCCATGCAAACTGATTGGAACTAAATGGGCCTGGCGATTAAAAAGGCATGAAAGAAAAGGATACAGCTTAGCATCCAAACACTGTCTCACAAAGAATTCAAGATAAGCAGACAGGAGACAAAAGACTGACGCCATCCATCACTCCCGCCAGGCCTTGAGCTCTGTAAAGTCAAACCACAGAAGGAGTATCGGGTGTTGACGAGTTTCTTTGTCTGCTAACTCTAAATGGACGCACCTGTCCTCGCGTGAGGGATGGACACATCAACAGTCAAAAGCCTTTTTCTAAATGGACTGTTCCGTGTCATTAATGTGGGTCACTGCAGTCAGGCAGAGTGAATGATGTGACGGCTACGTGGAAGAATATTTCACAGTAGCCGTGTTTATTTGTGGCGGCTTTTTCTGCAGCGGGCAAAATTTTGAAAAGCTTCCAGAAAAATCTGAAGGTCAAAGGGAAGGGAAGAAGCTTGAAAGCAGCAAGGAAAGAAATAAAGTCTGGAAATATAAATAACTTTCTGAATCTGGAAAACACTAAATTCACCCTCCTGGAGTTCTCCAGACTATAGCATAGAAATCCAGGTGTCTGAGTTTATTTGAAAGAAACATTCCTCAACTACTAAACTCCTCACAGAGTTAACTTTAAAACTGTTGAGTCACTCTGAAGTTAAATCCCATTCCCCACCATTCTCATTAATAGTCGCCGCAGACTGCACAGCGCATTTCATTTGCAGACACAAGACACAAATAATCAACTCAGGTCATCAAAGGCGCCACCCTGTCTTTGACCTTTCAATTCCTCCTAATAAAAACAAAACAGCGGCCTGAATAACAAACAACTAGCAGAATGCTCTTGAAGAAAACCCCTACACCATTAATGGGGATCCCAAGCTTGAGATTGTATCGCCTGCTGCCCAGAGGCGGGATAATCCTCTTGTGCCGCAGAGCAGCTCGCACATCTGAGGGGAGGATAATCTGGAGGAGACGTGACACGTAGCCGGGAGGAGTTTGAGGATGATATATTCTGCTTGGTCTTTTCTGAAAATTAATGTTGTGTACATTTAGAGTATATTTAATTTGTTTTCAAGGTGTACAGCTGGAGAAAACCCCCCAGAAAAAAACCAAAACATTTTCACTGTGTTGTAGGTGGTATTAATGGAAACCTGCTGTCTTTTTCTGGCAATCGCATCAACATTTTTCATCCCTTTTTGTTTTTACAACAGAGCAAGATGAGATCAAGAACACAGAGCATAATTGGAAACAAGGTATCTCACAGTTTGCAGGAAAACTGTGATCTATTTGAAGTTTAATATACACATGAAGGAGTATATAGACGTATGAATTATTTAAGGTGAGCAGAACCCTGAGCTCGTGGGTCATCTTTCTTTGGCTGACTCTGCTCTTCCTTCGATTCCCTCCCACCTCTGCTTCTCCCACTGCCCTACTGAACTGCAGAGCGACCAGAGAGGGAAACCCATCGGCTGCACTCAGCAGACATGGTGGTACAGCAAGACAAATGCAGTGCGTCTATTCACACCGAATTCTCGTGTTAATAATTAGATATGGTGGAAATGAAACCGTCTCTGCCAGTAGAACCTCAAAAATTCAGCATTTGTCTTTAAGCCACTATTCACAGAAGACATGGAAAACAACAAGCATGTCATAATTACAGAGTCTTTGCAAGATGAGTATTCATCAGAAAAGCAGCCAAAAAGCCCATGGTAACTTTAGAGGAGCTGCAGAGAGCTACAGATCAGGTGGAAGAATCTACTGAGAGGTTAAATATTAGTGCGGCAGTCCACAGGCCATGAAGGGGACACAAAACTGAAAAACATTGAACTTTTTGGCCTAAATACAAAGCACTCTATGCAGAGCTAACACTGCACATATTGTTATTGTGACGGACAATAACAACTTGTTATTGTCCATTACAATAACAAATTTTGCTGGATGATATATTGCCCTGGTAGTTACTGCGATGATTGATAATATTGTCATTTGAGACCATTTCCAAGTAATAGCTGGCTAATGGCATAATTGCTTATTGCGACAGGCTTATTTGTAATCAGGCAAAATATGAAAAAGTTCTTGGGATATGGAAATTTTTGTAAAGCACCAAGTCTTTCATAAATAATAAATTCGCTATGTGGCTTTCACATAAATAACTTATGATACAGTAAACAATTAACAGTTTGGACAGGGACTGAAAAGAAGGAAATTGTTTTTTTTTATTATTATTTTAATTATTTTTCCAAGTTCTGCAGCTTTAATTAGTGAAACATTCTCTTGCTTTCTATTCAGCAAACCTCAACTGTGAGAGAAACAGCAATGCTTCTTTATCCAGAGGCCCTTTCTCCTGCTGTAGGAAACCACTATTTGGAAGCCATTATGCCAAACCATCTGAGAAGGAGAGCCACAAACGCCCGCATGCAGATATCTGTTTCATGCTGTGGAAAATAATGGCAGGATCTTTATTCTCCACCGGCACAGCACATTTCTAGCATTCTCTCCGTTTTTCTCTACCCTCTCAAGCCTTCCCCCCCCTTCTCTTAACTTTCCCACAATTGGAACATTTCTATGGCAACCAGTCACCGTGGAACAATTCCTCTCTGCATGCATGTGTGGCTGATGTGCTGATGACGTCGCAGACTCGAAGTGTCGGCGGACGACCGACAGCCGCACCTGCTGCCGCTGCTCTCTGTGAGATCAGAGATCCTGGGAGGAGACGGGCATTGTGTGGGAAACAATCAGCCGTCAGAATGCATCGTTACATCAAAGACGCAGCATGTCTGTCTAGGATTCAGGGAAATGGGAAGCATTACTTAGGGCCACCGCTGTGATGCAGGGAGCTCAGCAGTCTAGCCAACTCCTCTTTCACGGAGGCCAGTGTTCAATAGCGTATCTCCTCTCTTTTCCAGAAGGAGGCAGAGGCTGGATGTATGTTCCTAATGGATCTCTTAAGCGTTACTAATCGTCGCCTGGCTGCCTCGCTGCACTACGTCAGACTCATAGATGGTGTGCACAGATAAAAGGGACAGGTGGAGACATGATCATTTATACAATCATCATCATCATATCTGTGCCGGCGATAAGCAGTTGTCTATGATCTACCACATGCAATTAAAGAGATGTAGAACTGTGGGGGGGTGAAATGCCCCCATGATTAACAATGAAATCACACAGTTTATCTACAGTGTTGGGATTTACTGATTTCTTCTACCAACATAAATGTTTCAAATAGTCAAATAAACTTTTGTGTCAAAGATTTTGTTTATTAAGGGTAAAAAGGCTATTTAAAAACAAACTGACCCATATCAGAAAGTAATCGCTCGCCTAAACCTAGTAACTGGTTGATCTGCCATCACTGGTAGAAACAACTGTTTGCGATAACTGGCAGTGAATCTTTTTCAAAGAAGTGAATCTTTTCCACTCCTCTTTGCAGAATTGTTAGAATTCATCCTCAAGGTTTTGGGGAAACCTGTTAATAATCCTCTTTTATTTAATACAGAATCATTGGATGCTGAGCTTTAATGAGCACAGTAAGGTTCTTGTTTCTGGGAGCTGCTGGAGAAGTTGTCAACATGGACTCCTGGGAAGGTTTACCATTCTCACGTGTTTACACCACTTTTCAGCAGCAGCTCTCAATGGAGTCCCGAAAGCTTAGAAACAGCTTTGGGACTTTTTCCAGGCTGATAAAATATCAATCAGGGCACTGGAGCAGACCACATGCCTCCTAAACACAACCCAAGTTAAATTGACTCTTGTGACAAAGAAAGCTACATCACACTTAAATCCTCATATTAAAAAATAATTGTTAATTATGCTAGATGGAAAATAAATAACTAGGAATCAACTGGTTCATGTTATTGGAAAGCAATAAAGGGGAAAGTGAACCCTAAGATGCATTTTCAAAACTTGGATGGCTTCATTAATACAGTAATTATTCAATTTGGAAGGTTGGGGAAATAATTTCCCCCTTCATACAGAGAGACTCTCATCTTTGGTTACAGCTAATCTGGAGTAGAATATAATGAACTATATAGCAAATAGTGTTCAAACCAGATACAGTCTTTGCCATCCAAACGTATTCACACCCCAATTTGTTTTATATTCTGTATTTAATGGGAATTTAGAACAAGAAAAGAAAACATGGAAGACGGAGTTTTGGTCTAATTAGACAATAATTACACTTTATAGCCTACTTGCAAAATTTTGAATGAGGGAAAACTAAAATTGCAAATCGACAATGAACACACACCTTCCTCACATTCAAACATGGACAGGATTTCCTCTGCATGAGTTTATAAGAAGATGGATGGGGACAAAGAGAGAAAATCTGAAGCTGTAAATCAAATGTTTCTACAAATTGTTGACTGGAAAGGAAGGTCACATTATAGATGAAGATTAATCAGTATTGTGGAAAGCCAATGCATGTGTTTTTTGTTCCACTTCACAAATATGCATTTTTTTTTTGTGGCTCTATCAATTTATAACAATCAACAAAATACATTTTGCAGTGTCGTAGTGGAACTAGTTAGCTTAAATTAGCTGCCCTTGTCAAGTTTATGGTCTGTAGAAGCACACTAAATGTAAAGTTTGACTTCGATTAAAGAGAGAATTCAGGGCACCTCGCTGAAGTCCAGAGCACCCAGAGGTGCACCGAGTATCAGTCTGCGCGCCATGCAGGTCCGCGTGCTCCCCAGGAGCCTGACATCAGACATGGAGCTGGACGCGCTCCAGTCCACACGCAACGAACCATCAACCGCCACTGTCAGGAGGAAGAGAGCCACGTGAAGGTCACAGCAAGCACGTGGTTTAAAACTCATAGTGGCTCTGGACTTCATTCTCGCTCCAAAGCCTAATTAAAGTCTGCATTTGAGGATTAGAATAGCACTTTAAAGTATTCAGAGGGTTCATAGTTTTCAGGGTTTTTTTTTTTTATTTTTAATTGGAGCAAGAACCAGCCATCCATGAGTTTTAAGCTAACAGTATGTACTGCTTTAGAAAAATGCTTTAAACTCCATGCCTCCATCAGAAACTCAGAGCAGTCAAAGCAACGACCAAAACGTATCCTGATGGTTTCTTATCTCACTACAGTCTCACTGCAGTCCCTCTGAAGCAAACCATTCACCAACTACTTGACACGATAGGGGATAAAACATTTTGTTTCAATCAGCTATTGTCTGTTTAAATGAGGAATCGGATTGGGTATTGAGAAGATATCAGTAGATTGTATAATTTTTACACTGTAGACACATGCAAAACCTGTTCAGGTTGGTTGATTTAGAAAACTCTTCATGTGGTTCTGAAATGTAGCATTCTGTATGTGTAGCTGGTCATAAGTTGAAGTACGCTTATTATTGCAGGTTATCTAGCAGAGACTGTGGGCTGTGTAGTGAGATAATTTGCTGAGGGGTGACTTCCATGCACCTTTTAAACCATGCTGTTCATGCGTTAAGCACCTTAACCTTTTCTTCTTTATAATCAAACGGTTTATTAAAAGTGGGAGCTGTTTGAAGTAAATATTTGTCTGCTATAAGTAATATGACAGATTCTTTCAAAAGGAGAGGGAGCTTCTACTGGAAACTTCACAGAGTCTTCACTGAAAATATCCAAAGCGTCCTTTTGACCTTTAGGAGCGCACATTACTTGTTAGTCCAATTCTTCCTGCAAACATGACATAACAACCAACAGGTTTAAAACATCACTTTAATTAGGGCTGGCTACATGAGTCAGTATCGTATCGATGTGACACAATCCACAGTAGACCTATGAGTGCTGATCCACTGCACACTAAGAATCGAGTTTCCCGTCCGCTGAGCATTTCAGCACCTGGACAGCTCCCATAGGCCACATGCTCACGCTGCCTCTGGACTCCGCGCTCACCCTCATCAAATCAGATTTGGAAACAAAACGAGATTAGGAGAGGTGGGGCTCTAAATGTCAGTGCCTAGCTCTCCTTTCCAGCCCCTCTGCAGGCAGCCGTTTCTGGTTACTGTCTGTGAAAAGAACAACTCGCCCCATTAGCCACCAGCACCCGTCTCAAACACTGACTGATCGCTCAGCCAATCCCTGCACCCCCCTCTCCTGTCTGGTCAAAGACTTGCCATTTAGCTCCATCAGCTCAGGTTGCCCACCTGGAGGATTCAATATGTGCCATTTAACTGGGTGTGGTGAGATCCGTTGCCTGGGGGTGTATTGTGTTGAATCTAGGCCATCTCAATGAAAGTAATTGTGACGAGTGAGAGACGCTCACGTGTTTTCTACAGCAGTTTCCAGAACCTGCTGGTCACTGGGGATACCACTTACCCCTTTACAGACACATTCGTTAGTAAGAATCAATAAGAGGCTTGATATAAATGTCTTTTTATAATCTGGCACCAAAATATTTAGGGAGAAAAAGCCTTTAGTCTAAGCAGTGCAGAAATAACTGATTTTGACAAACTCACCTGTTTCTCATCTCTAAAAAATATCTTTAAAATAAGTGGAAGTGAAGCATTTTTAATTTCTTCTTTTAAGCAGGTTCTACTAACTCCTTGAATTCCCATTTCTAAGGTATAAATAGGATGTGACACAGTGGCCGATGCATTTTAGCCACTGGCTGCTGGCTGGACAACTGCTTATATTCATCTTGTCACCATGGACTGTCAGTGCTAAGCAAAGTAAACAAACCTCAACAGCTGCAATGAAAATGGCATCCCAGGGTTTTCATAACAACCATCACACAGGTCTACATGAAAACCAGTTGCACAAGAAGACATTTTCTGTCCTACCATCATAAACATAAACATGTGGAGTTTGATCAATTCCACTCCTTACTAGTAAACTGATCCGAACATAGAGCCAAACGGACACAGAAATGGTTCACCAGACACAACGTCGACATTCTTCCTTGGCCAAAGCAGTCTGAAGACTTCAATCCTACAGAAAACCTGTAGGGGGAGCTGGTGAGCAGGGACCGTAATAGAGGACTCAGGATTCTGGAAGCAAGATGTGCACAGCTGAATGGCTAAATATCCCTATTCTATCCAGATAACAAAAAGGTATTGACAATGAACTGTTACGTATGTATCAAATGTGACTTGGTTAAAAAAAATATATTTTTTTTAATAGTGGATTTGTTCTTGCAACTTAATTTAATGTAATCAAATCAAATTTATGATTTTTCTACTATTTTATTTATTTCGAGGATTTCCTTCTGCAATAAACAATGAATGTATTTTAAGGATTTCTTTAAAAAGAGACCAAACACTTCTTTGAATCTGTGCTGCGTGCCTTCTATTTTGTCACGGCGGCAACAAGCTGTATGAAAGATGCACGAATTTATCACGAACCTCCTCCAGCGGAGAGGACGGAGGTCGGTTTCTATTACTCCGATATTCCGCCAGAACCAGGATGTGCTTTAAGCTCCCGGGGTTGTGGATCATTGATCTGAATAAATCGAAGGTGCTGTATTTTGATCAAACGGGCCTCCAACAGAAATGGACACATTTGTAAATAACCTCGTTCTTCTGACTGACGTCTGCAGCTGTGAAGTAAAATTAGTCGTCTTGATTTTGATGTCAGTTGCGCTCCTGGCACCGAGAAGCGCTTCTTCTTTACGTGTAGTTTCTGTTGTCGTGGAAACTGCAGGAAGGGAGACCTCGGCTCGGCCGTGACGCCATCCCCTCCTCTTTTTCTATCTTTTCTCCCTCCTGTCTTTTGCACTTTTTTTTGCTATCAACCCCACTAGGAGTAGCTATAAGGCGGTAGAGTGATCCTATCACACATGCAGAGCAGCAAACAGGTGGCTGCTGTCCGCTGCCAGGCTGCATTGAGACGTGCGAGCGCCGGAGCTGCTGCTCGGTCTGGGTTTCTGAGTCTGATGGACACGTCCTTTACGCACTCCGTGACAAGGAGACGCGGAGAAAGGGTGTCACATCCTCCATCATGGGTGTGAGTAGTTTGGATTAAAAGGTTGTAGGCAATTAAAGGTCGCAGTAAAATTAGAGAGAAAACAACGTTTGTGTTTGTGTCTGAGAAAGGAGGAACGGATCGATGATGTGGGTCGAGTCGGATGTTTGATTTCACGCGTGGAAGACAAGCGTCATAGTCTGGGTCTGGGTGACAAAGGTCCGCGGAGAAACTGACAGCAAACTGGGGTCTTGTTTCCTGGCAACCTTCAACCAATAGCTGCATAAATTCTGATAAAATTATGATATTTTAAAGGTACTTTGAACTCCTGGAACAACCGAGGGCGTTTCTAGTCATATAAAAATCTCCGAGGATTTTAGCGTCAACGCAGGAGCAAAGAAAAAAGAAGAAGCGAAGAAGAAGCGTGGTCCTACCTTGCAGCTAAACTGGGTCAGCGCGGTCAGAACCATGGTGTCAGGATGCGCCTTTCACGAGCCTAACAGCCGATTAAACAGTGAATCCATCCATGGTGTCAGCAGCTCCTCAGTGTGTGTGTGCGCTTCTCACTAGCGTGCTCCCCTAACAGCGTCTCGCAACTCTCGTAGCATCGCGATGCTTAGGCTGCAGGATCCCAGCCCCTCGATGCTCACCCATGCACCGCAACCATAAAAACGCAAACCCTCTACACACACACACACACACACATGCATGCATGCATACGCCACGTAAGCACACACATAGAAATACGCGTTTAAACTATAGAATAAAGTCTAACCCATACATGGTGTCTTACGGTACAAGAGTTGTTTTGGTGTTACTGAAGCCAAAAACCGCAATCGGACAACAGGTATAAATAAAAGGTAAATTAAATAATAAATAAACAGACAAACAAATAAACAAACAGACAGAGAGGTATATTTCAAATGTTTATTCTAGGAAGCTTTGGTTTATTGTTTGTGGAAACTCCGAAAGTTTTTAAATTTCATAAGACCAGTTATGGTCTTAAATGTTACGTTTCAAGACAAGAAAGACAGTTGTCCAGCAGACAGCCAATGACATCCTCCACAATGAGTGTAATTAACAAAACATCCGTTTTAAAGAGGCTGGTTCTTCATATTGTGCTGTAAATACATTAATGGAAAGTTGAGTGGAAGAAAAAGTGTGTAATAGCAACAAGGGCGAGCACAATCCCCTGGTGTGGAATGCAGCTAATCAGAGCTTCAAGAAATAACCAGGACACATTCAGGACCATGACTGTTACATTCTTTGTGATATGCCACTTCTGAAGAAAAAACAAACAAACATTTTTATTGACTTTTTTGTTACATTTAAATGTGATAGTGGTTCCACTAAGGGAAACCCTGGAGGGTGCAATGGCCACTGTTCATCTGCTAGTTTCTTATTTCCCCCAAGTTTTCCATTTCAACAATCAATAGAAATATTTGTTCAACTTATACAGTTGTCTTTTTATTCACCATCATGGTTTCACCACAGGGGTGCCGGTGTTCCACCCAAATCTCTGCTGCAACCTAATCCAGCCTGTATGAGCTGAACTGATATCCGGCTAAGCGCTAAAGTCTTTTGGTTTGACCTCATATCTTCTAGAGTTGACTGGCTCGCTTGACCATATCAGACTTTCCAAGTTCTGGTTTAGTGTTGACTGTTATTGGTGTGTATGTGACTCAGCACAGCTGGAATGCGTGTGTGTGTGTGTGTGTGTGTGTGTGTGTGTGTGTGTGTGTGTGTGTGTGTGTGTGTGTGTGTGTGTGTAGGTGTGTTTGTGTGTGTGTGTGTGTGTGTGTGTGTGTGTGTGTGCCATTGCTGAAAAAGCATGCGTCCAAAATCCACATGGTATATAGCCGCTGCGTCGAGTTAGGATGCAGCAAAATGCAAAAACAAAAAGATAAAACAGGCTTCCTCCATCGTGCTTTTCTTTATTTTAATTTCTTTTATTTATTCTAGGAGAGCAAGTTAAAGCACTTCTTACCAACAGGCGCTTTGGAGCTGATGCAGCCCATTCTCGCTGCTGCATGTAGACCCCCCTTTAGAAGCGTAATCTATTACATTTCTTCCCGCAATCATCCACGTGTAAAGAGACGCAGAGCTTACCTCACAGATGGAAAGCCTCCGTCCCTGTCCTCCGCTGGGTTCCGCCGCTGTGCTCACACCGCCGGACTGAAGCCTGTCGGACTGGAGGGGGGTCTGGCCATCACTTCTGCTCAGCTTGTTTCTTCTAAATCCATAAAAATAAAGTTTTCTGCGGCTCTTCTAAAACCTCTTGTCTCCCTTTGGATCTCAGTCCTGCGTCGCAACGTTCAGCACCACAGCGGAGGGACAGCGCTCTTCTCTGCAGGCAGCAGTTAAGGTTTCTGCCCCGACCTGAGCTGAGCTGCAGTGCTGTTTCTGTGCGTGTGTGTGTGTGTGTGTGTGTGTGTGTGTGTGTGTGTGTGTGTGTGTGTGTGTGTGCGCACGCGCGTCCGGTGTTAATGGGGTTTTCTCCCCACTCTCCCTTGCTCTCTGTCGAATCCACGCCACATTTTGGACATGGGTCCACTGTCTCTGGTCAGGGAGTGAAGAGTCGACACGTTGATAGAAAAACAATCCATGCTTATCCCGCTCTTATACCGCTTGCGCCGACTTTCCGCCCTCTGGATGTGCTTTTTTCTTGCTGTGTAGGAGCGGAATGAGACGGGATTGGCTGGAGTCACATGAGGGCGGAGTTGTGGGTGCACGCAGAGGAGGAGCTGGTTCTTCATTTAGGATTGCATTTCCTGACCGTGTTTACACCAGCTGACATCATGACATGACAAAGGAGGGCTGTGTTTCAGCAACTCTGATGTAGACAAGAGGAAAGCAGATGTCATCAAATCGAGACCCTGATCATTTCTACATTGAAATCAACGGAGATTGACTTTTCTTGTCAATCTCTAATATTCCTTTACAAGCTCACGTTTTTTTGAGCCCCTTGGGGGCAGGGAGGCAATATGATGAACCACAAGCAAGCAAAGCGAGCATGAACCGCATGCGAGCAATGTAGAACAGCACAACCCCATTTCATGGCCCATATGATCTCATTATGTATTAACTAGGCTCATTACAACAAAAAACTCCTCTCTACGAGGCAGAAGTGAATGGTGCTGCATGTTTAGGTATCGATCTGATACCAAGTAAATACAGGACCAGAATCTGATACTAATACTGATACTAATACTGATACTAATACTGATACTAATACTTTTTATTATTTAAATTTGATACATCATTAAACTTTCGAGCTTTAGATTTTTTGGTGGTTTTCCCTTTGAGTCATTTTGTTGAAGCCTATAACAGAATTTAGACAAAGTTCAGGTGCCTACGATGTACTTTAACATTAATATGAAGAACAGAAACAACATAATAGCACAACAAACATGTGAGCATTTTTTTTTCTTTTTTTCAAAATGAAGCACTTTAATCTTTTTTTTTTTCAGTTAGGTTTGAGAAACTGCAATACAAAAACATTGAAGATGGAACCTGAAACTACATCATTGATCTTATCACGCTAATATCGATCCAATAATAATTCCGGCTTGATGTCGATATTGTCAATATTTTGGATCTATCCCTCCACCTCTACAATAAGGTACTCTGCAGGCGTTGTTTGATGTTACAACCACAAAACTCAATTTGTTTGATTGAGATATGTAGTTTAAAAACACGGCAGTGTTGTGTAGTGAACGTTTTACACTTGAACGCATTGAACTAAATCATTGCAGCTGAGCTGAATTGTTGCTTGAAGGTTAACCTCCCTGTCTTACGTCTTCCGTCGCCACTACAGGCCCACATCACGATGCCGCCACGTTTCGCAGTAACGTTGGTGTTCTTTGAACTTCCTCTCAACTTTCTCCTTGACCTGTGTGAACGTCTGAACCCATCACTGAACTGCTGTATTTATACTGACATTAAATCACACACAGGTGGAACCTGTTTACTAATAAGTTACCACAGAAGAGTAAACGGTAAGCACTCCTCACTTTTCAGATTTTAATTTAGTAACATTTTTGAAAATCATGTATCACTTTCTTTTCACCTTACAACTATTTGTTTCATCCCGTCGTTCTTTACAAGACCGTCTGTAGGTTGACCCATTTGTAAATAACGCAAAGTTTTCTTGGGGCTGATGGAAATCTTCCTCCTTCCTCCATCCGTATTTCCTCGCGCCCACCAGGGCTCTAAAGATAGCCTCGCAGAGCTGCTGACCGACGAGGCGGGCTCCTCGCTGCACCGCTACATCTCCTGGAGCACAGATCCGCTCAGCTCTCCCCTCCGAAACAGGATCGCGTAACGCTCTTTGAGTGGGTGCTCAGTGGTGCCTATTCGGATTTACAAAAGCCCAAATGCCCCCATGTTTCAGCGCTTCCACTAGATATTATTGATATTTCACAAATCCGATGCCGTTTATAGAAAGTAGGACTTCAACCACGTATGGAGGTGCAGGAAATCCGCGCCTCTGCAGAGCTGCGTGAAGTTTTGGGAGTGGGGGATGTTACTTGTTTCAGTAACTTTAACGGGTATTCAGTATTTTTATGTGAGAAGCGTTTATTTCAGTTTTTCTTATTTATGGGCTTAACTTTAGAGAAAATAGATATTCAAGTTTAAGTGGGAAAACAACAATAACAACATCCAAATCCCAGAGGATTTTGTGCGTAAATGCGCAGTGTGCAGAGATGAGGAAGTAAAGCTGGAAAAAGAAAATACTACCAGCCTTCATCACAGTAAACACAAAAAGGGGACATTAGATCTGAGCTGTGTTATGTGTGACTGTCAGTCAGACATGTTGCCCTTCTCATTTTACATTCTACAGGATGGGGATCTTCAGCACCCACTCTCCTGCTGCTGCGCGCACTCAGCCGTGATTTCATAACACATCCCAAACTGCGGCAAAAAGAGCCTGAGCCCACTGAGGTCCTCTAAGCTCCCCCGTTCGTGGCATTTACCCGATGCTGCAGCGCCACCGGCAGGGCAGCCACGGTACTTACCAACTGATGGAGCCCGTGGGAGTTCGGGGAGAGAAAGCATGTGGCGCTGCACAGCGTGTGGCTGCAGAGCGAAGAGCAGAACATGTGGAAGATGTGATTATCAGAAGCCTTTGCGGTTAATTACAGAGCAGCTACTTATTTCCTGTCCTGCTTCTTGCTAGAGAGGGAAGTGATGTCATGATCCACTTTACTGAAAGTCAGGAAACATATTAAAGACAGATCAGCAAGCTGTAAACAGTCAGTGAGTAGACATCCTGATTTTCATTTTTGATGCATTTAAATCGTGTGTTGTGTATTACATTAAGCCACCTACTTTTAACTGGTGTTTTATGTAATAAACCAACCAAGTAGTACACAATTGTTTACTTGAAGAAAAATGAACGTGGCTTCTTAACATTTATTTGCAATTCAAAATCTGAAAAGTGTGGCGTGTGTCTGCATTCAGCCACCCTTACTCAATATTTTATAGAATCACCTTTCACTGCAATTTCACCGCAAGTCTTTTGGTGTTTATGTCCTTACTTTTCTAGAGTTTTCTAATTTCTAGTTTTATTAGATTTTTTTTTTTTTTTTAGAAAGGGAAGTAAATGTTTGCATGAAGCACTAAAGCATTAGAGATGTTATGCACTGGCTTTAGACAGAAAAATGTCTGAATTCTAAATGTGGGTGTGAAGAGATTTTACGATCAATCTTTATAATGTATTTCTGGTGAAATTAGACATGTTCAAAAACCTTCCACTGTGGTTGAATTACGACAATTCTGCAAATATGAGTGGGTCACATCTTCATTTAAAAACTGCATTTTATGCCTACTTGTTTTGTCTTTGACTTTTTTTATTATGCTTCCAATTGTTTTTAAAAGGTGCATTTTTGCTGATGAGCTCTAAGTTTTTGAGGATAGGAGGACTCCATGCCATCACCCCAATTTTTAGCTCCGTCATGACCGGAGCACTCCAAAACATTCATTTTACCTCCAGCCAGAAGAAACATGTTGGTAAAGTTAAAAGATCACTTTAAACCCAATTAATTTGGGGCTTAACGGGATCGTAGAGGGCAGAGATGAAATGACACGGCTCCTGCTGGAGACCAAATAAGTAATCTGTTCCAAACCTTCAGGCTCTCATCGCTGGAGATAAGAACAAACTTCTAATTAATGTTTGGATTTTTATGAGACCAAAATTCAGAGAAGATGCTATTATAGATTTGAGAAGTAGATTAAATCTGGTGAGAGAGGCTGAAGTTTTGTCTGAGAGGAATGTTGCTCATTCAGAGTTCAACCATAAGAAAGATGAATAAGCAGGAAAATAAAGAAAAGTAGACGAAGACGAAGACTTACTGCACATACATTTTACTTACTAACGTTGAATGTGAAGTCCGGTTCATTTCTAAAATAATTTGCTTTGTTGTTGTTTCTTAACATACATTGTTTTTCTCTCCTTTGGTATTTACGCATCATTGAAAATGTCTCTGATGCTTTCCTCCACCATCTCATATCTGATTGAGCCCCGGTGTAAAAGACGAAGATCTGAAACAAACACGATGAGGGCCTCTGGCCAGGCTAAATGAGCACAGGGTCCAAATCAGGCTTAACAAACTCCAATCCCTACCAGATGTCCAGAATAATTACCACAATCTGTCACAGATAAAAATAGACGGACTTTAAATATTTTTGCATTATTAATGGGCTGCAGTAGTGATATCATGAAAGCACGCCGCCTCAAACCTTAATTAGCACAGCGGATATTGGAGGAAGGGATCAAAGCTAAGAGGAGTGATTCTTGGTCGCCTGTTGCATCACAGGTTGGAAAATTACACGTACTGCAACAGAAATCCTACTACTTACTGATTCTAAGTACATTTTTATCACATCTATAAAACATTTAGCAACACAGATGCAGTTTATATCAAATAAATCTACATGTGGATTACAGGAAGTATTAATGCAGGCTCAAATTCATGCAAGCACTCCCACTCATGTTTAGATGACTGTCTCTTAGCATTTTCACCATGTTACTCATGTCACAGTTTCAAATTAATTACTTAATTATCTAGCAAACTGTAAATATTTAACTCTACTGCTATTTAGCTGGACTATATGGCTGAGAAGTGCACCGCAAAATAAGCATTTCATATCAGTGGAAATCATTATTGATTTGTTTTTATTGTTTTAAATTTCTGAAATGCTGCCAAACTGTTGATATGACCTCACCTGTTCCTGTAACAGGTCATCTGGAGCTGTTGTGCTGATTTTCTCCTTTTTATGCCACGCTGCTGTTTTTTCTTTATTGTTTATTGTAGGTGGCAAAACCTGTTGCCGTGCAACTTACTAAACAAATTGTTGCCGGGTAACCAAAAATGAGTGGGTTAGTCAATGTCACCCACCTTGCTTAGCTCACTGTGAGAAGTTGAGCAGCTAATGCCTTTCCTCTTCCTACATCCCCCAGAATGCTGTGTAGTTCTGGATCAGAGTTCAGTGAAACTATTGAAACTTCTCTCAAACGTATTTGTTTATTGATATTGCTCATGTGTCTATCGCGATACTGTTATTGATTTATTGCCCAGCCCTAGCTCTAACCAAAATATTTGTGAGCAAGCTCAATATTTAGGTTACAAACTAAATTTTAAGCTCAAAATTGGATATTTAGCTCCTAGATTTATGCCATACATGCCATGGTGAAGTTTGAAGGACAGACTCCTGTTGCCTGCTCTCATGCCTCAGAGCCGCCCAGGCCGGTCAGTGGAGGCAGTAGAGGTCTA